ACAAAATAAAATCTATTTATACAACAATATCTCTCAATATATACAATAATAACAACTTATAATAACAACCTATGATAACAACCTATGATAATAACTTGTAATAACAACCTATGATAACATCTTATGATTACAACCTAAGATAACAACCTATAATAACAACCTAAGATAACTTATAATAACAACCTATGATAACTTATGATTACAACCTAAGATAACAACCTATAATAACAACCTAAGATAACAACATATAATAACAACCTAAGATAACAACCTATAATAACAACCTAAGATAACAACATATAATAACAACCTATGATAACAACTTGTAATAACAACCTATGATAACAACTTATGATTACAACCTAAGATAACAACCTATAATAACAACCTAAGATAACAACTTATAATAACAACCTATGATAACAACCTATCATAAAAACCTATGGTAACAACCTTTGATATCAACTTATAATAACAACCTATGATAATAACTTATGATTACATCCTAAGATAACAACTTATGATTACAACCTACAATAACAACCTCAGATAACAACTTATGATAACAACCTATAATAAAAACCTATGGTAACAACCTTTGATATCAACTTATAATAACAACCTATGATTACAACCTAAGATAACAACTTATGATTACAACCTAAGATAACAACTTATGATTACAACCTACAATAACAACCTATGATAACAACTTATGATAACAACCTATCATAACAACCTAAGATAACAACTTATAATAACAACCTATGATAACAACTTATGGTAACAACCTATAATAAAAACCCATGGTAACAACCTTTGATAACAACTTATAATAACAACCTATGATAACAATGTATAATAACAACCTAAGATAACAACTTATAATAACAACCTATGATAACAACTTATAATAACAACCTAAGATAACAACTTATAATAGCAACCTATGATAACAACTTATAACAACAACCTAAGATAAAAATTAATAATAACAACCTAACATAACATCTTATAAAAACAACTTATAATAACAACTTATAATAACAACATAAGATAACAATCTATGATTTCTGATTTCCAATAGGGTTTATCCTTGGTGACTACGAACACTCACACCAAGTTTCGTCAAAACTGTCAAGAATTGTGTCTTGTAGAGTGTTTACGAGCAATTGTGAACAGACGGACGGACAGACGGACCGACCGACCGACATGGGTGACTGCAATATACACCCCCCATTTCATGTGGGTGTATAAAAATGATATGGCTGATATCAGCTATTATAGAAAAAAAGTTACCTCACTGATTTTTTGCAAGAATACACTGAATCATTTCTATCAATAAAATTTTTTATGGGCAGAACCATCTCAGAAGATCAATATGAGTCAGTCTGAACCCCTTGTTTCAGGATGCTCTCACTGGACATTGTTTGATTCTGGTTTGTGACTTACCAGTTGATATATTGGTATAAGTAGCCAAGTAAATATATGCATCTAATATCACTGGCTCTCCCATTACAATCCATTTCCCTGGTACGGTGGAGTTTAAATGCTGGATGTAGGGACCATCAGATTGATAAATACTCCATGTTAAACCCTTACCACCACAACGTAGTCTGATTTCACCTCCTTCTCCAAAACATCTACAAATCAAATTATAGATTATAGCAGTTGAAACACAACACCAAATTTTTCAGACCTTGAGGAGGATTCAAACCCATCGCGCCCCATAGCGTAGCTGATAACAAGTTGCTACAGACTCGGCTATTGTGCCTGAATAGGGTTGAAAGATGACTTCGAAGAACTGGTAGTGGAATCAACATTATTCTTGCCTGGAGGATTCAAACCCACGACATCTAATAGCCTAGCAGACCACAATCCAACTCACTATATACCAAGCTATTTCACTGCCTGATAGAGTTCTAAAGCCAGAAGCATTGGCCTTTCAAATTTTCATTTCCTTGAGGAGGATTTCAACCCACAGCACCCAACATAGTGCACCATCTTCACTCAGGCTAAACCAGAAACTTTTAATAATTTTTGTAAAATCACGGAAGATACAAGGTTCAACACATTTTAAAAGCATCCAACAGTTTTATCAAGGACACTGATAGCATTGATTTTCAACCTAGATTTCTATAGGTCCTATCATTCTACTACATGACAAAGCTAAGCATTTTATGACGCCATTATTGCAAAAGCTGCTAAGGGCTATTAGTGAGGTCATAGACTGTTTAGCATTCTTGTAATTACAAGAACCACATACATCTGACTGACAATCAGAATAGTGCAATCAAGTGTAATCATAACTGAGCCAAATTATAACATTTTACTTCGTCAAGGAACAACAAGGGCCACAGCAATAAACATCCACATTTCTATGTGAGTGTATAAAAACTAATACATAGCAAGACATTTAATATATGTAGTGTAATTGACTATATTCTGTACTGTAGACACCTGTAAAAATAAGAGGAAGGTGTCTTGAACAACTAGTACCATATGTTCTGTAACCAGCATCATGTTTCAATAAATGCCATAGTATTGTCTAAATATCACTCTTATACTAGTTTGTTGGTAAAGATTATTTTGATGAGAATTGGTTAGTCTCAGAAATAATTTTGCATCAATAAAAAAATTGAAATAATCACACTAATGAGGACAATTTTCAGTCAAAATTTGGGACATTTTCAGTTGAGATGTCTGAGAGGGAAATGTGTTTTTACTATTTTATGTAAACTTATTATCAACTCAAAATCATTCTGGCAATTTCTGAATGCACCAAATAAACTTTAATATTTCAAAATGTTTTGGAGAGGGAGGGGATCCTCCTCAACCCACAATGGGAGGCCTGTACCTACCACAACCCTGGCAGTTGTACCCCCAGATCTAAGTGAGCTAAGCATTTTGAATTGTGGTCTGACAGATAGAGAAAACTTTACTTACCTTTTATTACAAGCCTCATCATATCTTGTTAAACCATTATAGCTGTTGGTGTTAGTAATACATACACAGTTACTTCCCTTCCTTATACCAATAAACTTGTACCTACAGTTCAATTATAATATTATTTCATAACCCAATTCAATTCTTTACAACCATCAGAATATTCTTGATGGATTTACATGGATTTACAATTTTCATAGATTTGCACCATTCCTATTTTCAGTCAGATACCTGTGGTTTTGCAATTCTACTAGAACTAATCATATCTAAGGGTCTTTGTGATACTGCTTCATGTTAATGGAATTTCAAGAACATCAAGCATCTGATAAAAAATAGGAATGGTGCAAATCTATGCTATTAATCGTAAAATCTTTGGCATTGCCGTCGTGTTAAGCCAGTACATGTGCAGAAAAATAAAACTTTATTTCATTTGGACAAACTCCTGAGCATACAGCTGTTTTAAAACCATCTCAAACCCCCATTCCCCACCATGGAAGTCAATTTGCAGCTTCTACAGTTCGGTACTAATTCTAAACTGGTCCACTATTCCATCTAAAGTTTAGCCCTAAAGAAACAGGAGGTATTGGTTTCGATTGGACGTAATCGGATACAATGAGAAGCATTAGTCTGATACTTGTAAAGAAAATTATTATTTATTATTCCCAAAATGTTTCAGCGACTTTCAACAGATTATCAAATCAAGTAGACTGAAAACTGAAGGCAATTTAAGCCATACGCACTTACTCATTTATAATTGACATGCTTCCTCATTACCTGCTATCAATGTATTACTAATATGTTGTTTGGGATTTCAGGTTTTGTTTGAGGTTCTGATCCTTGTTACCTGAGTTTAATACCGTATATTTCTGGTATCAGGTACAGAGGTCCAGTTTATAACAGGGAGATACTTACTTTTTATGATGACAATATTTGGCACAGTTAACAATATCATTGCCATTGATTTCATCTACAACAAGGTTGTTTTTTATTTCACCAACAAAGCAACCTTTATACCACATAGATTTTGATGCATTGGTCAACCCTGAAAAATCAATTCCACAATTTTGAAAAAGGCTAATAAAAAACAGAACGAAGGTAATAAGACTGAATTCCACAAATAATAAATATGAACAGATCTGGTCCTTTATTATGTCAAGTTATTTAAACTTTGTCTAATTCTACAGGCACACAAACAGTTTTGGTCTACGAGATTTGTCAATAGTTTCACTTACTGTCATCGGCACACGAGGAGACAAAATATTTCTAGTCAGTTGTTTTCCACTATCTCTATAATCAAGTGCGAATTGTGCAATCGAAAGGAAAATGAATCTGATTGGATGATGACATTCTATGGAGTCTCAAAAGAAACTTTTCTCGTATCAGAGAAGATTTACAAACTCCATCTTATACCTTGACAACAATAAACACTTTTTTGTTTAACCACCTCATCTAATACCTTGACAACATTAGACACTTTTCTTGTATCAGAGATTTACAAACTCCATCTTATACCTTGACATCAGTTGACACTTTTCTTGTATCAGAGAAGTTTTATAATCTTCATCTAATACCTTGACATCTATAGACACTTTTCTGTTTAACCACTTCATCTAATACCTTGACAACATTAGACACTTTTCTTGTATCAGAGATTTACAAACTTCATCTTATACCTTGACATCATTTGACACTTTTCTTGTATCAGAGAAGTTTTATAATCTTCATCTAATACCATGACATCTATAGACACTTTTCTGTTTAACCACTTCATCTAATACCTTGACAACATTAGACACTTTTCTTGTATCAGAGATTTACAAACTTCATCTTATACCTTGACATCATTTGACACTTTTCTTGTATCAGAGAAGTTTTATAATCTTCATCTAATACCATGACATCTATAGACACTTTTCTGTTTAACCACTTCATCTAATACCTTGACAACATTAGACACTTTTCTTGTATCAGAGATTTACAAACTTCATCTTATACCTTGACATCATTTGACACTTTTCTTGTATCAGAGAAGTTTTATAATCTTCATCTAATACCATGACATCTATAGACACTTTTCTGTTTAACCACTTCATCTAATACCTTGACAACATTAGACACTTTTCTCGTATCAAAGATTTACAAACTCCATCTTATACCTTGACAACATTTGACACTTTTCTTTTTTAAGAGAAGTTTTACAACCTTGACATCAAGACGCACACTTTTCTTGTATCAAAGAAGCTTTACAAACTCTGTCTTATACCTTGACATCATTAGACACTTTTGTTGTATCATAGAAGATTTATCTAATACACACTTTTCTTGTGTCTTTTTTTTAATTCTTAATTTAAGAAAGATTGCCTTTGTAAATTACTTGGCATGCCTCTCAGTGTGCAATGTAGAAAATTTACTAGGTGATTTATAAGTCTACTGTCTGCCATTTCCCATTGTAGGCCTTGACGGAATGTGTTACATTGGCACTTAACATGATGGCCCAAGTCAAAATGGCCCAAAAGGAAATAATTAGTCAAAATGGTCCCAAATACATTATTCAAGATAGTGGACCACAGCCATATACGTCCACCACGGCATACGGATGGTAAATATTCAAGATTTTGGGGCAAGGGCAATAAATCTGCTTTTAACGGTCGAAAATAGCTCAAATTCGAACTTGATCTTCGTTTTATGATTATGTATACACATACCAGAATTTCATTTGAATCCATTAAAAGATCTAGTTTTTAGAGCGTTTACAAGCAAATTTTGACGGACGGACAGACCAACGGACAGATCGGCAGATGGACCGACCGACCAATGGACCTTCGTTTCATAAATATGTATGCACATACCGAATTTCATGTGATTCCTTCTAAACACTCTAGTTTTTAGTACTTACGAGCAATTGATGTTGATAGAAGCATTCACTGTATAGAGGTTAAAGGGCGATAACTCCTCAAAACAGACGTAAGAGGCCTAAATCTTGAAAAAGCCTTAATTTAATCGGAAGTTAACTAAACTTTCTCAAACCTTTTGAATTAGGTCCAATAACATCCATTTTAAGTTTCATCAAAATTGGTTGAAAACTTAGAGAGTAATAGCATATTCAAGGGCAATAACTCTGCTTCTAACGGTCGAAAATAGCTCAAATTCGAACTTGATCTTTGTTTTATGAATATGTATACACATACCGAATTTCATTTGATTCCATCCAAGCAAATGTTGACGGACAGACCGACGGATAGGGGTGCCGACAATATACGTCCACATAGAGAGATGTGGGCGTATAAAAATGATTTCTACGTACTTCTATACGGACATTATCAAATCAAGCGGAAAAGCTGCTATTCAGAGACACCAACAGTTCATTTGTTTTGTAATTTTCTTTAGGCCAAACCACAATTATTTTTGTGTGAATTAACATATCAATATCAAAATATTACAGTAAGTCTTAAGATTGTCTTTGGGTTGATTCAAATACCACAGAATGAAAAACTTAGTATTTGCAATAAGATTTTACAGTGGGAAATTTTCTTAGGACATTTTCTTGTAAGGTAGTGTTAATCAAAATTGTCAAATTACCAAACCCTAAATTTGATGGATCCGAAGACATTTTAAGCCAATGAACCTGATATCGAAAATTCTATTTTGAAATTTATAAAATGAGAGAAATAAAAAGTTGAATTCTAAGCTAAGCTGAGTGTGGTTGGAGATTATATTTCATTTCTTACCTATTGTATAGAATATACAGAAAGTTATAACAGAAATAATATTCATATTTCTATTATCTCCATATTAAGTTGTGTTCCTTCAAAAATTGCAAAACAAAAGTTCAAATAAGTCTCCTTTAACTTTTTTCAACTTCAAAACAAAAGTTTCTGCAAGTCGGACATCTTTTATAAGAAATAGTTCGATAACTGGAATATTTTTACAGGAATATAATATTTCAAACACATTCCTGATGATCAGCTTAATATATAAACAAAGAAATAATATTTTGGAAAAATTCTGAAACCTAGTATCTGTAGAGCTGTGTAAATACTATGGAAGCCGGTACTATTTTCTTGGGTGCAGTCATACGTTCTGTGGAATGGTAATGAGTAATTAGGTTGAAACAGGTGCGCGTGATACCGTGTTTTATTCCCCTCTTACAGTAGTTCAGTTCAAAGTATTTTTTTGTTTAAAAAAAATAATTTTTATCTTGAGAATAGTATGAGAAATGTTTCTATATATGGGGGTGGGGGTGGGTGGTTGAGGAGACCCGGGCCCAACCGCAATGCCCGACTGATAGTAAGAATGATAAGATTCCAGCTTGTTCCTTTCCTTCACCTATACTCGATTGTCTCGTCAGCGGATTATAACATTTTAAAATCAATCCGTCAGACAAGATATTGTTAATAATTTTCTTTTAATCGGATTCGTAAGGCTGCTGATTCAATGCAGCCTGGTCCCATCCGAACGACTAGACCTTTTTTAATTTTCAGAATAGAAGTGAACCGACACAAACATTTGTTTAAAATTTATTTAATTTTACAAAATAATATATGAAAGAAAGAAAATATAGACCTTCCCATAGAAACACCACTGTGGAAAAGTTATATAGATGAAGGTCAAATTACCAAGAAGTTAAGGAAGGTGTCGAATTGAATTATCGTATTCGACTTGCAAAAGCTATTTATATTAGAATATCGAAGAATACCTTTGTGATAGTGACGTAATAAAACTCTCTGTAATGGGGAGTTGTAAGAACCACCAGACGACTTACTGAAAATTTGAATGGTGCAATCGATGTTAACAATGTTGAGAAAACTTCTTTGCAATCTATTTAAAATTCACATTTAATTATATAATTTGCTTTCATCATTTCATCTGATACGATAGTGATGTATAAATATTATACTGATATAAATAGATACCCAATACGATTCCAATTTTGTATTTTGGAGAGTTCAAAAGGTTAAAGAAGTACTACCTCTTCCAACGAACATTCAACGATTTCAGCTTTTATCAATAGATACCAATTTATGTTCATTCTAAGAGGTTGTGTTCTTTTAGAAATGAATGAGTATGGTATTCAGATCAAAATTTAGTAAATTCTTCATTTTCTGGTTTATATCCCATATTTATCTGAGCTGGATATCTTTCCTCGACATTACCACCATTCTTTATACCAGACTTGAGTTCCTTATCGTCAGCATCGGCATCATAATCGGTATCGCCCAGACGGCGCCGGGCTATCCATTCAGGTTTGGGCTGAAACAAATCAATGTTGCCACTAAAAAATGCGAAACAAAAAGAGGGCCAACTCAAATTCACATGAATCCTTTCTACCAGCCCTTGTCATTGATCTTTTCTGGATTATCCGTAACCATTTGCAGATGGGTCGACTGGAATTATGAGTGAAGATGACTAATTCAAGGTCATAAGATTTCGACATGCTGACCGACATTGTAAAACATAACCACCATTTGTTGGACGTTACTAAAGGCTAGCGCACACTCGAGCTCCCAGCTGAGCAAAATTTCATTCGTGCCTCTCAGCTCAGCTCGTAGCTCTCGCGTTCGCGAAGTTTACGTAAGGTTTTATTCATTCGAGGCGTTAAGGAAATTATCTGTCGTGTTTGATAATTTTTTCCTCGAATGAAAAATACCTCACCGTGTGCGCACTCGAAAGGTATTAGCTTTCAACTTTAACTTGGGCGCATGCGCTAGCACGTGATCAAACAAAAATGGCTGCCCCCATAGGTGAATGCGAGTTTGTATCTGAAGCAATTATCGAAGAATCCATAGCTTACGAGAGCTCGCAAGTATTCTTCGTCGGCGACGACACAACAACAAAAGAGGAAGTAAAATTTCTTCATATTGTGAATCATTCGAAGGGTTGTTGACGTCCGACATTTTGTTTAAGTCACGCGAGAATGTCACGTGATCTAGTTATTTTTGGACGTCTATGACCCGACACCCCGTTTACGAAAGCTCTAAGCTTAGCATGTGCGGGTGAAACCGACGAAAGATGCGAGCTGAGCTGGGAAACACGAATGAAATTTTGCTCAGCTGGGAGCTCTCGTGTGCGCTAGCCTTTAGTCGATGGTTTCAAGAACCACAGGCGTCCGACTGAAATTTGGAATTGTGCAAATCGATGCTTTCAGAATCCCCGTAGAAAACCTCTTTAATAGTATGTTTAATGCTTTACCTTTAACACGCCGTTTTTCCAATTATAATACAAGAACCATAAAGGAATACATGTGATTGGAGCTAAACTAATCATCCAACCTAGTGATTCAGCCCACTGTGGTTTACCTTGTCGTGTTAATGGTTCATATTGATACGCTTTAAAACCAATCACTCCCTGAATTAAAAACGTCGGGTCAATAAATAAAAAAATGAAACCTGTAGCCTTTATCCTTAAAAAACTTCACTTAAAATGATTTTTGTGTTCCAGTCATATGATGATTTTACCTGTATCCATTTACAGCTTGACCCGTTGATCTGTACTTACCAAGAGCAAAATTGGAGTGACGGCAACCCAACAAACAACAAAATACAAATACGGTTTTCTTTTCACCATAGCTTTGACATCTTCTGAGAAATTCTGATAACCTGAAACAATAAAAACAAAAGATGAAATAAAAGGAAATGGAACGTCCCACTGTTCTGTAATACGGAGTATTCCGAGAAGCACAAGATACTGAATGCACCTTATGTTTGCATCACAAAATCCCCGAAGAAATTCGATTGGCTGGTGATATCATCAAACAGATGAATGTTCAAGATCGCCGTCGTTGGTCCCTAAATTAGTGGCTAAAATAAAAATAAAATCTCATAGAACACCGAACGAAAGTTTATATCAAAATCAAACCCTCCCTTCCCCGAAATATAATTAGACTGGCGTTTTATGACGGAGGATCGAAATGGGCCTTGGATATAATCAACAGCTTTTGCAGTAGTTATATACTGTTAAGCATTTCTATATTAAATGAAACACATAATTCCGACCGAAATTCTTAATCCCAACCCCTTTAAAATAAATATCATACTTACCATACACCCAACAAATTACCACTGTTTCTAACAGACCAACAAACAGCGTTGGGAAGCCGAGAATATAGGCATCAACCAGATCTAGTAAATAACTGCCACCCTGGAAGATACATTAATAGAATGACATGCTAATAACGTCTATTCAGACAATGAACACAGACAACGCGATGCGATTTGCAATGAGAAAATTATACTCTTTATCTATTTCCAACTGTCTCTAACATGCAAATACGGGGCCCTGGTTTGTTATTGCACCTCAATTCATTTTGAAGAAATCGCAAATAAGATCTACATGTATACCCCCCCCCCCCCCCTACAAAAATGATTTGCTCCTTGCTATTGTTTATACGTACCTGAGTTAACATTGGCAAACCAAGTAGAAAACCAGCACCACATACACAGGCTCTAAATAATACTCTTCGTTTACCAGTATTTAATAATCCCGGGAACTCATCTATAAAACCAGTCATAAACGTCTCGGCTGTGGAGAACTAGAGAACAGGACATTTAATATATCGGATGGTGCAGAAGAAGCGATAACATTTTTCGACAAGTGGTTGCCTAGCAAGATACGCCCACTTTCCTGATACATTTTCAGTATATCAAGGGCAGTCACCTATCTGTGTCAAATCATACCAAAAATCTAATTTGTGCAGGATATTTAAACAAACACACATTATTTAATAAAATTCTGACATAAACTGTTACCAACAAATTTTGATGCGTTTATACTAAATCAAGGGCAATAACTCAAAAACGTTCATCGAAAGATCGTCAAATTCGAACTTGTACAAGATCTCATCATTATGATTGATCACACCAAATTCCATTTAGGAATTAAGAAAAATCGGTCACGCATTGGAATTCTGCTGGTAATTCTCTTCTAATTTAGTTAATTATGAATTGATTATGGACATGTGAGACAAACTGGTATTTATGACATATTATGATCATAACTTGGATACTTGACGAAAAATGCTGAAATGAAAAATGTTATGTTTTTCTGGGCCACCGTATATAATTGACAATGACAAACAATTTTGGATGACGACTTTGACAGATTGTAAGAAGGTTTACTAAAATAAATTATGTGTATTTAGCACACCGATAGCATTGATTTGTACCATTTAAACTGAAGTGGCTAAATTAAAATAAAGGCTTATAAAAAACGGAACCAAAGTTTGGTCTAATTTTAATTACACTGGGTACAATCTAATAACCCCTTTTACTGGTGTTCAAATGTAATGAGTATTTTTGTCTATACTTCGTTCCACTTGTGATTGTTGTTCCATAAAGTTGTGTTTAAAAGTGGCCACCAATTAAAATTATTTCTCTTACTTGACTACTGAATCCAAGCGTACATAACATCAGGAAGAAAAGGATTGACCATAAAGGAGAGATTGGCATCTTTGTCAAAGCTTCAGGATACACCACAAAAGCCAATCCAGGTCCACCTTGCGTTACGTTAGCAACTGGCAGGCCTCTTTCGTGCGCCATATACCCTAATACTGAAAACACCACGAAACCAGCGTAGAAACTCGTGCAGCAATTTATGATTGGTATCATTATTGCGTCTCTGAAAAAACGAACATGAAATGTAGTTTTGCGTCCTATTTTTCAATACTTCATATTGGGCTAATTAGCATACGAATTCTTTTTTTTTTATATAACGTTAGAAACAGTAACAGCATTTTCAATATAAATTCAAGAACAAGGGTGATAATCTATAATTCAAAATCGTCTCGAACCGCCCATTCCTATTTTATATTGAGTTTTTGAAAATATACTTATTGACAAATATTTTTAGTAAATTTTAGAGCTTAACTCTAGGGATAACTCTTTTCCATTTGCCAAGTTTTCCTTTTCGACTTACCTCAAAACATTGTTGGTGAATTTATTATAGCTTGCCATGGCCATTAGACCACCCTGACACGCACTCAAGGAAAAGAAGATCTGAACAGCTGCATCACTCCATACCTACAAATAACAAAGTACTCACAAAGCCACGCACTATGCAATGAGGTAAATTTTGTTGGTATAGCGGCATAGTGTATTCGTTTTCAATTTCCAACAGTCGGGGAATCTTTAACGTGTTGTCCACGGGGCTATTGTTGATTATCCCATCCTAACGACTAGACGCTTTTAGCACGTCAGCCCCTTTCGATCTGCCTCACTGACGAGGGGACCGGACCTTGTTATCTCGACCCATGTTGAGATTAAATCTCGGACCTTTAGGTTAGCAAGAAAGTAAGTGAACTATATAAGGGCTAATCAATGATGCCTGATCAGACGAGGTCCTAAGGCCAAAAGAATCAAAGGACCTTCGACTCAGTTTATAAAAAAGATTTTGAACCAATATTTTGTCTCCTCAAATTCATTGAAACATATTATAACCTAAATCCGATGAGAAAAAAGAGTAAAGGTATGGTTTGGTCCGCGATCACAGAGCTGCTGTGCTCAGTACTAATATGTTAGCTAACAAAACAGAAAGCTCAACAGGTTACTTACAGTGGCATCAGTGAGTCTGGATAAATCAGGGGTCAGGTAAAATTTGATTCCATCTATTGCCCCTTCCAATAAACATCCTCTTATCAATAAGATTGTTAGTAAGACATAGGGGAACGTGGCAGTTACATAAACTACCTGAAAACATAATCACATTGCTTGTTGCCACAGATATGGATTTGGATTTTTTTTTTAAATTATAATGATCTCAAAAGGATTTTTAAGAGATTTTTAATTTTTTGTGTATCGGGAATAACATCGATTTGCACCATTTTAATTTGCAGAAGCTCGCTCCATAATGACAACTAGATCCTTAAAAGGGGAACAGTAGGCATTTTCGGGGATTGATTTGTGCTTTAATAGTCTTTAGAAGTACTAAAACGTACGAAAATCGTATAGTCCCTTCAAATATACCTCAAACTAGAATTTTCAATGCCTATTCCTATATATGTTTTTTTACATATGACATAGTTTCACTAAAATTCGAGTCGAATTTTTAACTTTCAAACGTGTATAAATATGGATACACATGGATTTGAAGGCTAAAATTTCGACGATAAGCTGAAAACAATATTACTGATTATGTAAGCTAAAGGTAAGGTAAGGTATGATTGCTCTAACAGATAATGAAGGTGCTTCTTTAAGGAAAACAAATATATCCAATACCGGATATTTGATTTAAGACTCTAAAATGGTGGTTATTTATGTTCGTGATCCGATTCTGTCAGGTGCATTGTAAGTGCCGTTTCTGTGAATCTTGAAGCATAGAGTCCGAAAGACCAGTCTAGAAAGTCATAGCTCTCCAGTAGGAACACCACTTTACCTTTCCAAGAGATTGGATTCCTTTACTCAAAACAAAGAAGACAATACACCAACTCAACAAATTACACAAACTAAGATCCCATTTCAATATTCCCCAGTCACCAATACCAGCACTTTTAGCTAATACTACATCTCTAGAATATAGAACAAACAATATTAACAGTCCAACATGAACTGTAATAAAACCATTGTTTAATATTTTATACTAGAGAGTTGATTTGTTGTCTGAAAAGCGATTCTGTACCATGGGTTTCTCTTTGGGCTAAGTTAAAAAGAAATTTGAGAGTTGCACTGCCACGAATAGCCGTACTAGTAAACTCGACTTCAGACCATTCAGAATGATTATATAAGATGAACAAGTCCTACATTTTGATTATATATGATGAATAAGTGATATATATTGATTAGAATGATTATATAAGATGAATACGTCCTATATATTGATTAGAATGATTATATAAGATGAATAAGTCCTACATTTTGATTATATAAGATGAATAAGTGATTTATATTGATTAGAATGATTATATAAGATGAATAAGTGATATATATTGATTAGAATGATTATATAAGATGAATAAGTGATATATATCGATTAGAATGATGATGTAAGATGAATAAGTCCTATATATTGATTAGAATATAAGATGACTAGGTCCTATATATTGATTAGAATGATTATATATGATGAATAAGTGATATATATTGATTAGAATGATTATATAAGATGAATAAGTGATATATATCGATTAGAATGATGATGTAAGATGAATAAGTCCTATATATTGATTAGAATATAAGATGACTAGATCCTATATATTGATTAGAATGATTATATATGATGAATAAGTGATATATATTGATTAGAATGATTATATATGATGAATAAGTGATATATATTGATTAGAATGATTATATAAGATGAATATGTCCTATATATTGATTAGAATATAAGACGACTAAGTCCTATATATTGGTTAGAATGATTATATATGATGAATAAGTGATATATATAGATTAGAATGATTATATAAGATGAATACGTGATATATATCGATTAGAATGATTATATATGATGAATAAGTGATATATATAGATTAGAATGATTATATATGATGAATAAGTGATATATATTGATTAGAATGATTATATAAGATGAATATGTCCTATATATTGATTAGAATGATTATATAAGATGAATAAGTGATATATATAGATTAGAATGATTATATATGATGAATAAGTGATATATATTGATTAGAATGATTATATAAGATGAATAAGTCCTATATATTGATTAGAATGATTATTTAAGATGAATAAGTCCTATATATTGATTAGAATGATGATGTAAGATGAATAAGTGATATATATTGATTAGAATGATTATATATGATGAATAAGTGATATATATTGATTAGAATGATTATATATGATGAATAAGTGATATATATTGATTAGAATGATTATATAAGATGAATAAGTCCTATATATTGATTAGAATGATTATATAAGATGAACAAGTCCTATATATTTATTAGAATGATTATATAAGTTGAACTAGTCCTATATATTTATTAGAATGATTATATATGATGAATAAGTGATATATATTGATTAGAATGATTATATAAGAAAAATAAGTGATATATATTGATTAGAATGATGATGTAAGATGAATAAGTGATATATATTGATTAGAATGATTATATAAGATGAATACGTCCTATATATTGATTAGAATGATTATATATGATGAATAAGTGATATATATTGATTAGAATGATTATATAAGATGAATTAGTGATATATATTGATGAGAATGATTATTTAAGATGAATAAGTCCTATATATTGATTAGAATGATTATATAAGATGAATAAGTGATATATATTGATTAGAATGATTATTTAAGATGAATAAGTCCTATATATTGATTAGAAAGATGATGTAAGATGAATAAGTGATATATATTGATTAGAATGATTATATAAGATGAATACGTCCTATATATATTGATTAGAATGATTATATAAGATGAATACGTCCTATATATTGATTAGAATGATTATATAAGATGAATATGTCCTATATATTGATTAGAATGATTATAATTATAAGATGAATAAGTGATATATATAGATTAGAATGATTATATATGATGAATAAGTGATATATATTGATTAGAATGATTATATAAGATGAATAAGTCCTATATATTGATTAGAATGATTATATATGATGAATAAGTGATATATATTGATTAGAATGATTATATATGATGAATAAGTCCTATATATTGATTAGAATGATTATATATGATGAATAAGTGATATATATTGATTAGAATAATTATATAAGATGAATAAGTCCTATATATTGATTAGAATGATTATATATGATGAATAAGTGATATATATTGATTAGAATGATTATATAAGATGAATACGTCCTATATATTGATTAGAATGATTATATAAGATGAATATGTCCTATATATTGATTAGAATGATTATATAAGATGAATAAGTCCTACATTTTGATTATATATGATGAATAAGTGATTTATATTGATTAGAATGATTATATAAGATGAATAAGTGATATATATTGATTAGAATGATTATATAAGATGAATAAGTGATATATATTGATTAGAATGATTATATAAGATGAATATGTCCTATATATTGATTAGAATGATTATATAAGATGAATATGTCCTATATATTGATTAGAATGATTATATAAGATGAATAAGTGATATATATTGATTAGAATGATTATATAAGATGAATAAGTCCTACATTTTGATTATATAAGATGAATAAGTGATTTATATTGATTAGAATGATTATATAAGATGAATAAGTCCTATATATTGGTTAGAATGATTATATATGATGAATAAGTGATATATATTGATTAGAATGATTATATAAGATGAATACGTCCTATATATTGATTAGAATGATTATTTAAGATGAATAAGTGATATATATTGATTAGAATGATTATATAAGATGAATAAGTGATATATATCGATTAGAATGATGATGTAAGATGAATAAGTCCTATATATTGATTAGAATATAAGATGACGGAGTCCTATATATTGATTAGAATGATTATATATGATGAATAAGTGATATATATTGATTAGAATGATTATATATGATGAATAAGTGATATATATTGATTAGAATGATTATATATGATGAATAAGTGATATATATTGATTAGAATGATTATATAAGATGAATACGTCCTATATATTGATTAGAATGATTATTTAAGATGAATAAGTGATATATATTGATTAGCATGATTATTTAAGATGAATAAGTCCTATATATTGATTAGAATGATTATATAAGATGAACAAGTCCTATATATTTACCTGTAGTATATTTCACTGGCTGATTTACTTTCATCAGTAAATCCGGCTGTAATATAATACACAAAATAAAGAGATTTTTTAAAGAATATAAAATATAGTTTACTAGTGGTTGTCACATACAGTAGACGTAAGCTGATTGGTTAATAAAGATAGAAATCAATTTTAGTGGCTGATCAATCAGAAACCAACTTCTTATGCAGTCTAAGGTCGTAAAATCCAATATATCACAATATAAACTAATTACGACCATAAGCTTGCCTTAAAAACATAACCAATCTGCTTAATGGTGCACAAAATGACCCTGACCAATCAATACACATTTTCGAAAAAGTTCACAAATTCCTTCTTCTGTCAAAACGTTTTTAAAATTTGAATTATTCCGTTTTATATCTTCGAGTATCTACCATGGATGTAGCGATGTCTGTATATAATTACGATACTTATTTGAACGATATTGTATATATGAACATTATTATATTCGAAGAGGGGTTATATAAGCGAAAGCCTGTTCCCAATCCTTTTCATATTTATATGAATAAAATATTGTTTTAAAAAAAAGCTTGCTAATCTTAGCGCAATCCAAGTTAAAATCTGACAAACGGGGTGTTTGGATGGATCAATTCAATGACAAGCTGTCAAGATAAATCCATTGATTTCATTTATTCCAAATGCAATGCCAGTTTACAATCTCATGACAGTTTTATTTATCTGTTCACACCCCTAACAAAATTCTATAACTACTCCACTTTCGGGTGTTATTCCTAGATTAGTTGCATGTCTGTGAGATTCTCTTAAACTATCGTGCTAACATTCTTATACATCGAACAAATTTCGATAATCGAGGCACCATTCAAATCATATTACTGCTTTTTAGATAAAATAGTAACCAATTACTTTATTCGTAATGATCTGGTTAAAGATTTAATAGTTCTTGTCAAACAGCATTGAAATGATCCAAACCCGACCATTGAACTTTGTTGGAGGTGATGAGTCACTCCCGTTAAGGGCTAGTCCAAATTATTCATAATTACAATGGACCTTTTATTGCAATATGCATACAGAAATGTTGTTTGCGCTTGTTTGCGTTTGTATGCTCTTGTTTGCTCTTTTTAGTCGGACCCGATTTAACATACATAATTGAAAAAAAGGACACTTCTTGGTCGTCTTTGAAATGGGGCTTTTACCTTCATTACGCTACGGCCTTGAACTTACACTTATTAACGACATAAAAAATACCCATTTTATAGCGTCAGATCTTTGTTTTTGTTCATTGATTGTTTTTAAATATACTTACTACAATTTAGATCTGAAGAATTTAACCAGGTGATATTGGTTAGTGAGTTATTGCTGCTGTATAGTTTACAGGCACAATCATTGCAATCTTCCCACGGTAGTTTATTTGTCATAGAGGCGAACAGATAGTACAGACCCCATGCGATGATAATATCGTAATATATACATATTATACCACTCACAAGTATACCAGCCATTCCCAAACCTAAAATACACAAAAAAAACCTTAATTTCATACACGAAACCTGGGAGTTTCACATACAAAGATAGTTTGCCAGACAAAGTTACATACGTCCACTGGCAGCTGTCAGAAATGAAACAGAAACAGATTTTTCAGTGACTACGATGAAGTACAAATAGTGACTCATAAATATAAATCATATGAAAATTGAAGTCTCTATTGTGTTCACAAGAAATGTTGACGGACCTGTGGACCGGTGCGACGGCAGTATAAGTCCATGTTTTCATGATGACGTAAGAATAAACAATTATAGTAATTAAAAAATACGATATATTATAGATACTTATTTTACAACAACAAATATAATTATTACTGTTCCATAAAGCTGTCTACAAATCCTGGATTATCCGTGTCTTTTTACAGCTGGATGCACTGGAATTTTGAGAAAAGATGTCATATTCCAGACTTTCACAAGCAGACCGAGATTAGATCCCACGACCACCATTTGTTTGCCGAGACCGAGGAAATATTGTCATGTCCGGTTTCTAACGCTCTAATAAATATACTGAACTATCTCAACGATATACTTACATACTTACATAATATATATAGTTTTATAAAAAGTATAATTATAAATGTGTACCTTTAAAAGCCGGACTGGAATGATCCCAGATAGATATCGGACCCTTTCCTCCATATTGACCAAAGGCTACTTCAATTCCAAATATGGGTATTCCAAGGGTCACGAGACATATGATGTATGGAATAAGGAATGCACCTGTAACACACCAAATATTTTAGTCACAAAACACAGATTTTTGATAGAATATTGGAGTGAATAGATTTTAGGGAAGGTATTAAACATAAACTAAACTAATTTCCTTTTAAGAGATTGTTAAGAGATTTGCTCTTCATTTTTAACAGATTTAGAATCATGATTAGACCTTTTGACAAAAACAAAATATTTCTTGTGGAGAATCCTTTCATAAACTCAGTTCGAGGGCTTGTTGTCGATGTGCTTCCACAGAGCTGTCGTATTTTCATCCTCGACGATTGGCCTATTAAGTCAGTCTGTTCCCTATTAATACCTCCAGTCTCGGGAGTCTGGCGCAGCCACTGGTTGTTTTGGGTTTCTTTGGGAAGTGAGTATATTTACCTCCCCCATTTTTGAAACATAAATACGGGAATCTCCAGACGTTTCCCAAACCAACAGCATATCCAACTAGTGTAAAGATGAATTCTAATTGTCTACCCCATTGAGCACGTTCTGGCTTCTAAAAAAAAGAAAGAAAGTAAATAAATGATGGATTATATTGCATTTACAATCAACATTATTGGTACTAAGTCTTTATAACGGCTCGTCCGTAATTGTGCTGAATTTCAACTGCACTAAGATTTTATCAATAAAGAAATGTTTCATAAAAATTTTAGGCTCTATCTGGTACAAGAAATGAGAAAGGGCGGAGGAACGGAATAATATATGTCCATGTGGGTATATAACCTTATTTTATAAAATTTCAAATGACCTAATTAATGTAAAGGTGTAGAGGACCTCTATTAAGAGATTGCATATCTATAATGTTGTCTATAACATCATACCCACGACATGCAGATAAGGTAAGTACAACTAACCCAGATAAGAAATCATAAACAACGCGTTTTCAAAGTCTTCCTGATCTTATTTAGACCCAAAACTGATAAAACAACTACATGAAAACATGAAATAAAATAATAGTTTGATGATATATTATTATGTCAACTAATTAAGATGGATAACGCCATGAAGGAACCGACTTCCAAGGAATATTTAAAGTACAATCCAATCAATTTCAGTAATTTCACACTTCCGTGATACAAGAAAAATATCTAACGATGTCAAGGTATCAGAGAGAGTCTCTATAAGAGTCTGACAATTACAGTAAGTCTACAAAAGTGCGTCATGAAGTCAGGGTATAAGACGTAATTACGTGTAGTTCGCAATCATTAGAAATTGTGAAGATGCGACCAACTTATGAAGAAACAGGCTGCAATTTTGTTTTTATGTGTATTTACACTCGTAGCACGAATTTATACCATTTCAATTTTCTATCAAATATCTGTGATACATGTAATTCCACTAGAACTAAGCAATTTATGACATCGCTATTGCACACGCAACCTTGGATATCATTGGCAAGTTTTTCACTAGGTGGCGTGGATGTTATGCAGACGGATGGATATTCTAATTACAATCGGTTGGCTTGGTTTCATCAAAGAAATGGTAATCATAAGTTCTAATCTCTGTCGGTGTGTAGAAGTCATCTTTCCTCATTATTTCAGTAAATAGGTAGGGATAATACGGGAAAGATCAATTTCAAGAGGTTTGGCCAAGGACAAGTCCGAAACATCAGCGTCTATTCCAGCCTCTGATAGATTATCGGCTGGGGCAGAGCCAGAAAATCTAGGCCCTGTTTCATAGGGATTTTCCACTCATCAGAAGATGCGTTTTTCATAAAACGATGATTGTGTCATTTTTTTAAAATCATAATTGGCTTCACACGCAGTTTCAAATGGCAGACCAGATTTGCTTAAAAAAAAAAAGACGTGACGTGGTGTAGGGAGACTATGTTGGTATGGACTGAACTACCAAAATATTAATATTTTCAAATATATATATATAGCCATTTACATTAATAGGCTTAAACCCCCCACACATTCCCAGATTCGGAAAATTTTCACAAAATTGGGCCTAGTTATTCTGTCTCTACACCAGTCAACAACTTACAAAATAGCTAACGAGGCTGGGATAGAGTTAGATGTTTCGATCTATCCAAGAATCAGCTTGATCTGGTTATTTTTTGCCATCTTTTTTTCTCTTAGATTAAAAACTGATTAAGTCCACAAAATAAACGATAACGCCATATTTCTTTTGCCATAAATAAGAATTACAATTTATGTTTTTGTAAGTACTCGCCATTTCAAATAAAAACTTTATGTTTACAATCTCTTATGTCTGAATGGAAGATAAATAGGGGCTGAGTGTTTACCAAGATTTCAAATCAAGACCCACGATGTTTGCAAAGCTGCAAGTTCCCACATAAAATAAAACAGTTCTCGAGCTTCCCTCGAGTTCCTAATCCATAAAAATTCTTTGGTCAATTTCACTATAACACTTTACACCGTCTGTAATCTGGGTAAAGATGAACTGAGAAAGATCAATACCAAGAAGTTTGGCCAAGAACCAGTCGAGAGTAATTTAACAGTTAAACTTCGGATCTGAACACCTCCTTCCACTGAACGGGCCTCTTACAATGATATTTTGTTAATTACTTATTTCACTGATATTTCGAGGACAGGGTGTAGCACACTCGGTTAATGCGTTCTAATGACGTCATACGCCTGGTTATGGCAGAGGTAGAGATTTGGTATTAAGGGGGTAGAGATCAGGTAGTAAGGTGGTAGAGATTAGGTATTAAAGAGGTAGAGATCAGGTAGTAAGGTGGTAGAGATTAGGTATTAAGGGGGTGGAGATTAGGTTATAAGGCGGTAGAGATTAGGTATTAAGGGGGTAGAGATTAGGTATTAAGGCGGTGGAGATTAGGTATTACGGGGGTAGAGATTAGGTATTAAGATGGTAGAGATTAGGTATTAAGATGGTAGAGATTAGGTATTAAGGCGGTGGAGATTAGGTATTAAGGGGGAAGAGATTAGGTATTAAGATGGTAGAGATTAGGTATTAAGGGGGAAGAGATTAGGTATTAAGATGGTAGAGATTAGGTATTAAGATGGTAGAGATTAGGTATTAAGGCGGTAGAGATTAGGTATTAAGGCGGTGGAGATTAGGTATTAAGATGGTAGAGATTAGGTATTAAGATGGTGGAGATTAGGTATTAAGGGGGTAGAGATTAGGTATTAAGATGGTAGAGATTAGGTATTAAGATGGTAGAGATTAGGTATTAAGGCGGTAGAGATTAGGTATTAAGGCGGTGGAGATTAGGTATTAAGATGGTAGAGATTAGGTATTAAGATGGTAGAGATTAGGTATTAAGATGGTAGAGATTAGGTATTAAGGGGGTAGAGATTAGGTTATAAGGCGGTAGAGATTAGGTATTAAGATGGTAGAGATTAGGTATTAAGGCGGTGGAGATTAGGTATTAAGGTGGTGGAGATTAGGTATTAAGATGGTAGAGATTAGGTATTAAGATGGTAGAGATTAGGTATTAAGATGGTAGAGATTAGGTATTAAGGGGGTAGAGATTAGGTTATAAGGCGGTAGAGATTAGGTATTAAGGCGGTGGAGATTAGGTATTAAGGGGGTAGAGATTAGGTATTAAGATGGTAGAGATTAGGTATTAGGATGGTAGAGATTAGGTATTAAGGGGGTAGAGATTAGGTTATAAGGCGGTGGAGATTAGGTATCAAGGTGGTAGAGATTAGGTATTAAGGGGGTAGAGATTAGGTATTAAGGGGGTAGAGATTAGGTATTAGGATGGTAGAGATTAGGTATTAAGATGGTAGAGATTAGGTATTAAGGGGGTAGAGATTATTCAATAGAGGGCGCCGACACAGGGTAAAAACAGAGTAAAAGGATGAACACATCGAAAATATCTAACTGAAATTATTGCCTTTGTTTATTAAAGAATTGTTTTCTATGTAATCATGCTGGTGATGGTTGCCAAATGTTATAATCTTGACAAAGCTTGTCAGTAACCGGGACAACGTCGAGCTTGTACGCCCTCACCTCACCCCGGAACACAGTCCAAATATATTTTCCCCTACAAGTGTGCGTATGTCACCTCTCCTCGCAATTTATCTTTGTCCTAATCGGAAACCGGGACAACGTCGAGCCTGCACGTCTTAATCTCTTCTCCCCTCCACACATTTATATTTACTTTGATCCACTTGTTATTTTACAAGAACAAAATTATTATTAATACCCAAAATAAATACATTTTAAGATTTGGCATAAAAAGTTTGAGAAACTGAAATTTGAGAGGGACAGATAAACAATGTTTATTTTCAGTTTTTGAGACGTAACGTGACCTAAACAAAACATTAGAAATGAAACGTTATACAGTTTATAAAGAAATAAGCCTAGTTGTTTAAAGACACGGTACACTCTATGACTTCGTCCGTGGTTTAAAGGGATTGGTGTCAGTATTGCAAAAGCTGCTAGAAGGGAAATTTATGTATTGAGCACTATTTTAACAATGGTATTTCTCTATCTCTCTACAATTGATGTATTGAGCACTATTTTAACAGTAGTATTTCTTTATCACTCTACAATAGATGTATTGAACACTATTTTAACAATGGTATTTCTCTATCTCTCTACAATTGATGTATTGAGCACTATTTTAACAATGGTATTTCTCTATTTCTCTACAATTGATGTATTGAACACTATTTGAACAATGGTATTTCTCTATCTCTCTACAATTGATGTATTGAGCACTATTTTAACAGTGGTATTTCTATATCTCTCTACAATTGATGTATTGAGCACTATTTTAACAGTGGTATTTCTATATCTCTCTACAATTGATGTATTGAGCACTATTTTAACAGTGGTATTTCTATATCGCTCTACAATTGATGTATTGAGCACTATTTTAACAGTGGTATTTCTATATCGCTCTACAATTGATGTATTGAACACTATTTTAACAGTGGTATTTCTATATCTCTCTACAATTGATGTATTGATCACTATTTTAACAGTGGTATTTCTAAATCTCTCTACAATTGATGTATTGAACACTATTTTAACAGTGGTATTTCTATATCTCTCTACAATTGATAAATTGAACACTATTTTAACAGTGGTATTTCTATATCTCTCTACAATTGATGTATTGAACACTATTTTAACAGTGGTATTTCTATATCTCTCTACAATTGATGTATTGAGCACTATTTTAACAGTGGTATTTCTATATCTCTCTACAATTGATGTAT